AGCATAATGGTACAAAATCCCTAAATCTAGATGCTGATTGTGTTGTTAATTATTCTCAGCAGTCAGGTATACTCAAGTTAATATAGTTTGATCTACATGCCTAGCTTATTTACATAGTGTATCTCCTTTCTCTATTGTTTTTCCAAAAAAATTATCTCCTGAACACATTCGATGAAAATGCAAATGTAAGAGGACTAATTACTTAGTTAGATCTAACTAGTTAGAAATGCAAGTTTTGAATTCTTCTAGTTCACTTGATTGTTTTATGACAATTTATACTCAAAAAAGTGAGTAACAGGGATATGTGAAGGTTTTAATTTCATCTGCACTTTAAAATAATTTCTTAGAATTCATTTTCTGATTCTCACTTTTTATAGGTTGCTTTCTCAAGCTAACAAAAATTTTAATACCATTAGTTCTCTATGCATTCTTTTTCCTCTCTTTTCTTTCCTTGTGTTGCATCAACCAGGAAAATGTTACAATTTTCTTCTGTGGTTTACGTTGAGAGTATTTTCATGGAAATTCCTAGATTAAATTAAACCCATGGATGCTTTCTCTGTTTTTCTCTTCATTATCGATTTCTTAGTTCTTTAGACAAGTCTATCCTTCTTTCTCATCTTTGTAAGTTCTGCACCTTTGTTCTTGGTTGTAAACCATTTTGTACTAATACTTGTTTAATTTATTATCTGTTAACTATGTCTTTCTGCAGCAGACGCATATTGTGTTCTGTGTTGTTTCTGTCAACTCTTAAATCTAAGGAAAAGTAGCTATTCTCACTTCTGTTTTGTTCCTCTCATCGGAAATAATGTAAGGAGATGATTCTTAGAAATTTCTTTATTTTTTTAAATTGTAATTATTTGTAATTTAAGTGTAATTATTTTTTTAGACATCACATCTTACTGTTGCCCGTTCATTGATCAACCTGCAGGAAGCACATGTGCAGGCATGACGTTAAACATAAGTAGTGTGAGCAAAGCAAAATTTAGAAGAAATTTGGAAAACAGAGGAAGAAAGACACTAAACCCACAAATCCCTCAATGTCTGTCATTTTGTATTTTAGTGACAAGAATGATCTCTGTACCAGATTATTATAGTGAGTGAACTGAAGGCATCTAACTTTAATAATTTTGTCCACCATTTTTTAATTACAATTGACCAGAGATTATATTATACTTCAATTACACTTGCACTAAGTTTAAAATATAGCAGAAAGCCTTCCTATAACAAATTACATTGGTTGTTGAATGGTAAGTAGTAATTCTGCAATAAGTGTTAAAACTCAACAAATGTTTAAGGACGTGTCATATTTTTTCACACAGTTGAGGCAGTTCAGTAAACATACACATGGTAATTAATGTATTAAAACCATACTTTAAAATATAAAGCTATATTTGAGATATTTCATATAAATATATCCTTTTTTAATGTCTGCTAGACATATGCTTCTTTTTGATATCCTGCAAATATATATATATATATATAAAATGAAATGTAATGGAAAATTATGCATATTACTGTTATAAAGCTACATCCAGAAACAGACATTTTACCCCTTATGTCCTACCCTGGTAAAGAGATTTGTATAGATCTTAGCAGTTTTTATAGAGTTTTAGAATGAGTGACCTGTTAGACATCTGCTCCTTAAGTAATCTTTAACTAAATAGTGTCTTTTCAGACTGAACAAACATTTCTTGTTGACTATGACTAAGGGCTCATTCCTGCATCCAATTGAAACAAATAGTATCTTTCATGTAAATTTTATTAGCTTGTCAACTCACTGCCCACTCATATCTCTAAAAATCCTCCCACTGACTTAAGATGGTTTGTCCAAGGTCCATCTCTGAAATAGGAACAACAGAGGGGAAAAAAACCCCTTCATATGTACATGAAAGATAAGGATGAGAGTAAGTTATAAAGAAAAGAAATAGCTTTAAATTCATTGAAAGGTACTCTACTATAATGCCTTTGTCTTCATTTTTTCTTGTCATTCCTTCCTTTAAAGCACTACTAATGATATTCTGAAACCAGACACATCCCTTAGTAATGCGAGCATTGTTTCACTCATACAACAATCTATATAACCACTGGCTCATATAGAATTGTCCAGCCTGGTAAAAGGAAGGCTTTGGGGACACCTAACAGGAACCAATGGAGTTAAACCCATGAGGAGTCTATCAAGAAGACAGAGACATGCTCTTCATAATTATGTGTGGTGGCAAGACATAAGGTTATGGTCATAAACGAAAATGAGAAGTTCAGTCTTGATATATAGAAAACGTTCTTCACCACGAGGATACTCCAGCACTAGATCAGGTTGCCCACAGAAGTTATACTGTCTCTGTCCTTTGAATAAAGCCCCTTAGTCTGGCCTCAGATTTAATCCTTACTAAAGACGTCCTGAGAGTCTTTTCAGCCAGAATTATTCTATGATCCAGTTTTCAAGGTGTGATCTATAAAACACTGGATAGAGGAGGCTAATGACACCCCTAGTTATTGTCCAGGATGGCATTGACTTGTTTTGCTGTCAGGGCTCAATATAGGCTCACGCTCAGTTTGCTGTCTGACAAAGCTCCCAAAGCTTTTTCAGCAGATTGCCTCCCAGCTAGGCAATGCCCAGCCAGGCCCCATCACTGAAGGTTTTTTCCTTCCCTAATGCAGGGCTTTGCATTTGTTCTTGTCAAATTTCATAAGGTTCCTGTCAAACCTTTCCTTCAGCATGTCTGGGTCCCTTTGGATAGCAGTCCTGCCCTTAGCATGTCAATTAGTTCTCCTAATTAGTCCTCTTACCTGCAGACTTGAAGAATGAGTACTCCTGTGTGTCCTCCAGGTCAGTGGTAAAGATGTAAGGGGAGATGCCTAAAGATGTCAAGATATATCCCTGGGTAATGACACTTGCTATTGGCATTTAGATAGAGTACAGTGCATTAACCCAACCATCACACCTATCTAGTCTCCACCCACCCAGTCTGTTCTATCCAAGCTTGAACAGAAGCTGGGGGAAAGCACAGAAAGCCTTGCAAAAGCCAAGTACCATCCACTGTTCTCCTCTCATCCATATATTCAGTTAGTTCATCACAGAGGACAGTCAGATTCATCAGGCTAGGTTTACCCTATAGTTGGTTGACCCTGGCTGCATGGCAGGCACCCATCAAAGCCACTTTATCACTCTTCTCCACAACTAGACAGGGGAGTGAAAATACAACAAAGGTTCATGAGCTAAGATAAGGACCAAGAGAGTCTCACTGAAAATCATTGTGGGCAAAATAGACTCATCTTGGATATAATAATTGAATTTATTACCAACAAAATCAGAACAGGATACAGAGAAGTAAAATAAAACTTAAAAACATCTTTCCTCCACCCCTCACTCCTTCTCAAGCTCTACCTCTTCTTCCATTAGCAGTGCAGGGAGACAGGGAATGGGGGTTACGGTCAGTTCATTACATGTTGTTCCTTCAACTGCTCAGGGTGCAGCTGCTCCAGTGTGGGTTCCCCACAGGATTCCAAGTTCTACTGGGAAATCTGCTCCAGTATGGAGTCCTCTCTCTAGAGGTCAGCAGGTCCCTGCCAGGAGCCTGCTCCAGCATGGGCTTCCCATGGGTTCACAGCCTCCTTTCAGGTATCCACCTGCTCTGGCGTGAGTCTCCTTCACGAGCTGCAGGTGGATCTCTTCATCCCCGTGGTTCTCTATGGCCTGGAGGGAGACAGCTGCTCCACCATGGTCTGCACCATGGACTGCAGGGGCATCTCAGCTTCAGTGCCTGAAGCACCTCTTCCCCCTCTTCTTCACTGAGACCTTGATGTCTGCATAGTTGTTCCTCTCACATATTCTTACTCTGCTCTTCTCTGGCTGTAATTACATCTGCACAGTATATATATATATATATATTTTTTTTTCCCTTCTAAACATGTTTTAACAGACTCATTACCACCCTTCCTGATTGGCTCAGTTTTGGCCAGTAGCGTGTCTGTCTTGGAGCCACCTAGCATTGGCTCTGCTGGACATGGAAGAAGCTTCTTGCTGCTTCCCACAGAAGCCACCCCTGTACCTCCCTGCTACCAAAACCTGGCCATTCAAACCCAATACAACACTTAGTAAATTCGTATAGGTTGTTCCCATGCACTCTGCTGTCCTTCATATGACTCAAAATGTGTTCCAAGAGGACTCAGCCCAGATTCGCCCAGGCATAGAAATGCGACGTACTGATCTGTAGCAGTTAGATTATCAAGCAAATACGCTTGTATGCCAATGTTAATTCAAGAGGTGTGAATTCAGTTTTACATCTTGATTGCATTAATGAAAGAATAGCTAAAGATTGGGCTAGAGTGTCTTTGTACACTGGATAACAAGCCCACAATCAATAATTCAACTGATTAATGTAATTTCCTCTGGTTTGCCAACAGTCCTTGATTTTCTCAAGTACAAATGTATGCTCTGTGGCACATTTTCCTTTAGATGCCATAGATTTTATATAGATATATATCAAATATCTGTAACATGAGTGGCAGCAGACCTGTAAATGGCTCTGAGTATTTCACAAGAACTTTTTCTGTCTTGAACTGTGCAAATAAGTATGTTACTGTATGTGTCACATGTACTATGTATACTGTTTTATGCTATATCCTTATCACTACAATAACTAATTTAAAGTAATGCAAGCATGATCTATGAGAGGTCTTATTTCTGACAAAATGGTTTGACTTCTCTTTGGATCCTTATTACTGATTGCTTGTGAATTTCCTGTTTCTGGAAGGGAGTAATGTAGTCTGTCTGTATATTGACATTTTCTGATGAAAATACACAAAGTATAGAACTACTGTGAAGAAAGATTTGTTCACTATATTCCATTTTCTCCACAAAAACCTTCATATAGTGTAAAAATTTTCTTAGATACATGACTCAAGTTTTGAGAAAATTATTTTTTTCCTTTAACAAATTCAGTGAATTACATTTGTTTCTGATAACTATGTATTCTGAAATGCGTTTTCTTTATTTATAGCTTGCTGTTACCTCAACTGATTTCACTTGGAGTCAGACTACTTTTCAACAGTTTGTACCTGTGACTTCATACAGTCATGCCACCACTGAAGCCAGATTTGTAAGCCTGAACCCTGTTTCTTTCAAAACCACTAACATAGAGTAACTGCAGATGACTGATATTGTTGCAACATCTTAAAAGCAAATAAAAAGTATTGGAAACCGAAAATTCGCTGTTAAGGGTCTTGAGTTTGGTGCTTTTTTCTTTCATGAATCATACAAAAATTTAGGGCCCCAAGTTCATCATAGTTTTATTAAATGAGCATCTTAAAGTCATGCTTAGCAACAAAATTCATTTAAATATCTAAACACAGATCTAAGTATATAGCATAATAAATTTAATATTTAAAATTCTGGCTGTGGTTTCTAGACATCTGTTATTTTCTTTTCTGTGAGGGAGTGAGCTGTTCAGAGACAAACTTTTTGCATATTTTAATCTGTTTGTGGTAGGAGCTTGATTAAAGGAGGAGAGGACAGGAGCATAAACAATTTGGGAAGCATCCTGCTTCTGGAACAGGATGATGAAGCTTTCTATTGAAACCAGAACAAAGCTGTTTACACGAATGTGCTACTCACAAACAATGCCATTGAGCTCTGTGCTGAGGAAGCTTTTAGACATTAACCATAATCCATCCATCCCCATCCTCTACCTATTCTCTAAACTGCACATAATGCAACAATGTTTCTAAAGCTAGGCATGAGAGTAGCAGTCTCCTAAGTATTTTCCAATGGAAAAAAAGAGGCCTAATGTTAGAGTCCTTCAGTTTGACATCTTTTGCATTGATCTTTCACGGCTCAGCTGTACTGAGTTGGCTTTGGCCTCTGTGAGGGTTGCTGCTTTTCTAAGGCAAATGAAATGTTTAATGAAGGGGTTAATTTTCCTTCCTGTGTCATAGTACCTTCAAATTTAAGTTTGGAGTTTTAAAGCTACAAATGTCATTGGAGTTGTCATTCCATGCTATACATGAACTTGAGAGACCTTTCCATTTCAATAGGAACTGAAGTTGAACACTGTTCTACTCTGCAGCGGAAGAGAACTGTAAAGGCCCAACTGAAGTGAATATATGGAAGTTATGCACAACATAAAAAAATGTATTTTTAATTGTGAATATAATTTTTTGTAGGAATTTTCATTTTTATATGACCTTGTGTAACTGAGAGTGCTTGAAAGTGATTTTTAAGGCAATAGGGTCATTCCAAATCAGCCTGCTTTCCCTCAAACCACTAGATCAAACATTTTATTGCAAGGCCTATAAAAATTTTGTGTTGTACTGGAACGATTGATCACAATCAAGTGTCTACTCCCTGTGTTTCAGGGTTTTGATCCATATTTAGTAACTCGAGGCTGAAATATACTGGGACTGAATTCCTTCCCTGGGAGAAAAAGAACCTCTTGAAATCAGCATTTTAAAGGGAAAGCTATATATTAAACATAGGGGACTAAAGCCAAGTACTTGGCATGTGTTACTATGAAGCTGCTGTTTGGAAAGATGTTTATAAGGTTGATTACTGGATAAGAATTTAAAGGCTAGTGTCTGTGACACTACATCTCTGAGAACACATTATTCCCAAGTTACAGAAAAATTGTTGTTTCTTTTGGTTTTGTGTGCCTTTAAAGAGAGTGGAATGCATTGTTTTAAACAGATTTTGAGCTTATTAGAGACCAACAAAATGATATCAAACTGAAATTTTAGTTATGAATGCCTTTATATCAGTGTGTGTTATAAATATGTATTTGTTGCATTACATACACAAAGTTGCAAGAAGGAAGAATGGATACAGGTACAAAAGAAACAAAACCCACTGGTAAATATTTTGTAAAAAGAAACAAAACCAACTGGTAAATATTTTGTATTTTCAAGCTTCTATGGATTTATTATATAAAATTATTAGCAGTGCTAAATCTCACCTAGATTGCCTGAAATACCCTTCAAAGCTGAAGTATTTTGGTGCCATATTCCAATAAAGTTAATTTAAATGGGAATTAATAGTCATTATAATTAACCAAACCATCAGATTCACAGCTGATGTTCTGAGGTTAATCTGGCCACTCAAGACTCAATGAGGATGGAAGCTTGGCAGTTTTATTATTGCTTAGAAATCTTCCAGTGTTTCAAAGGAGTTCCTTTTGGTCAAGACAAATTGCCATTAAACACACTGGGAACCTGTCACTGAAAGTTTGATCAGCTCCGTTGTTCTGTGTCTCCTCAAGTGGGAGGCACTGGCACGAAGACATCAATTTCCATGCCATTGCTGCTCCGGTTGCTCTTCTTTTTCTTTCCGAGCAAATCTGCCGAGATATTGCTACCCACAGAGAGGTTCCGAAACAGGTGCTGGAGGAAAGCGGGGGCACAGGGCAGCATTTCGAGCAGCGAGGTTCGCTAAGGTCCCTCGGCAGGGACGGCCGGATGGAGGCTGGCGAGCGGGGCACGGCGGGCAGGTGCTGAAGTGGCTCCCGGGCGCGGAGCCGGACACCGGGCTGGCCTTGTCAGGGGTCGGCGGCTGCTGGGGACCGGCCGGAGCCGTGGCAGCGGGGGCGCAGCCTCTCCCGGCCCCTGGAGCCGCGGGGTCTGGCGGCGCAGCGCCCGCGCACCTGCCGGGAGCGGCTCCGCGGCCGCCGCTCCTCCCGCGGGCAGGTACGCGCGGGGCCGCCCTGCAGGTGCGCAGCGCCGGCCGCGCCCGGCCCCTCCGTGCCCCGCGGCTGCGCGGGGGCGGCCGCGGCCACAGCCCCGCTGCCTGGCGGCGGGCGGCAGGGTGACCGGCAGCCCGGGGCGGTCGCCACCGGCGGGGAGACCCGGTAAACTTTGGGTAAGTGTTGCGCGGGCGTAGCGCCTCTGCGCGCCGGGGAGCGGGTGGAGAAGGGAAGCGGAGCTCTGCGGAGCGGTGCGCTGCTCCTGCCGCATCGCCGCCCCGGCGCGGAGCGGGCGCGGGGCCGCGGGGTCGGCGGGCGGCGCCCGGGGGATGCGGGCTCCGGACAACAGGTACCGCAGCTGCGCGGGGGGCGGGAGGGGCCGCGGGAGGGGTGTCTGTGTGTGAGTGGAGTGTGTGTGTGTGTCGCTTCTCCCCTCCCCCCTGCCGCCCGGCCGGGAAGGGGGTGGGAGATGTGCTGGCCCACCGCCGCTTAAAACCGCGCGGCCCGGAGGCGGTTGCCTGCTCCCGGGACGAGGGCGGCTGCGGGGTCCGCGCTGTGCCGCGGAGGGCGGCGAGAAGCGGGGCAGAGGGCGGCGGTGACCCCGCGGGGCCGGGCCGGGAGCGCTGGGCTGCGGCAGCCGGCGGCGGGCGGGGCGGGGCGGGGGCTGGCGGCGGTGTCGCCGCTGTCGCTGGCGGTGGCCCGGCTGGATGGCCGGTCCCGCGGCTGCCCAGGGCGCCGGGCTTGCTCGTATCCCAGGGCCGCGCGTTCCCTCCGCCCGCATCGCACTGCAGTAAGTTCGCGAGTCGCTGGTCGGCCGAAGTGGTCGCAGCCGCGGAACTGGGGGGGGCCGTGGTGCGCGGGTGTGTGTCTGGGCGTAGTGAAGGGGCTAGACTGAAAGTTGTGGCTAACCGTGCCGTATGGAACGTGTCACGATGTGTCGCTTAGATTTCTTGTTACTGCCAATTTGCCTTGTTGACCTACATCACTTTGCTCAACCCCAGCCAATGTCCTGATGCTGCCCCCGATAGCAGGGTTCAAAACGGTGAAGTGTGAGGCATCCAGTGTGGATGCAAACACAGCGAGGGCAGGAAGCACAGGATGCAACTAAAAACTTATGCTTTAAGGGCTGGTCTTCTTAAACTTATTCTTTTTTTTTTTTTTTTTGTGTGTGTGTGTGTGTGTGAGTGCATTGTAAGTATCCTGCTTTGGAAATGGATTAAAGGTTTTTTTCAGCAGATTACTGTATCATAGGTATTTTTTTCCTCCCTAGCTGAACAAGCATATTGCAGGGTCTTCAGTTCTTCATTCTGTTTGACTGTTTTTCTATAATTTTAGTGAGAACTTTATTATTTTTCAAAAACATTTTTATCTGGTTGATGTGAGTTTAGAAAGAAGATGGAAAACTTATAAAATCCTATCAAAAAATGAAAAGGCAATGCAACAGGGTGGGGAAAACCAGTAATTGTAGCAGGAAAAGTAGTCTTTTTAAGTTTTTGTAAAAGCCACTTAACATTTCCTACTCCCATTTAGGTTAAATGACCTAATGCAGCAAGGTAATAGTTGTTCTTTGCACTTGAATGGTATGATGCACATATTTAGAAAGTCATTATATATCCGGGGAAAAAAAAAATCCATACCGAGAACCTAATATGCATTCCCAAATGACTTGACTTGTGCTACGCTTTATGGATAAAATGACAGGAAATAAGTCCCTTGTTTCTCCCCAAAGTGGTAATCTGGTATTGCTCAGAGCCTGAAATGCCTGTCTGCTAGAGAAGGAAAACAAGCATCAAGAAACATGGGGCATCACGAAGCAGCACTTTCCTCCAGGGGCTGATGTTGTCTCTTGTTCATTTGTCAAGCTAGAAGGACTTGGTTGTTTATCATGGCAGAGAAGGCCTGAAACACTTATTCAACAGCATGAAATGGTTTTGGAGTGATATGTTTTATGCTATGAATTTGAAATATTTGGGTCCAATTGTGTTAATCTAATTCAGGTGCCTGTAAACAGCAGAAGTTGCTGCTCTTAAGCAGGTTTAAGAAAAATTACACTTTGTCATGTTTGTTTAGGGAGAAGGAATATATTGGAATTGTTACTTTCAAGCTCAAATCATCTTTTCTAAACACCTATAGGTGTCGAAGATTCAAGGAACAGTGTTCAGCAGCAATACATGAATGAAGAGATATTTTTTTAAGAGTTTATACAGTTTCAAAATAATAAAGTTCATAATTGTTTTGAAGAGCATTAGATATCAGGTTTTTTACTTACAGGGAGGTTCTGCACTGTTTCTGCTCTGGAACTAAGTGTCATGTAGGTGCCACTTTACAGGACAAGTCTAGGTACCTCTTGGCAATGGAATGAGATCACAGGAACAGGAAAAAAGAGGAAGAGTTGTAAGAAACCTGTTAGAGCAGCATTTTGATAAAGCAGGGTGTAAATAGCACACTTGGGAGTAAAGGCAGTAATAGGTTAATACTGGAAAACTTCAATCATTTGACTGGATAGCTGGACTGGACTTTTTTTGCTT